TTCTATATAGAAATATGGATGTGCTATATGATTTAATTATGCCACCATAATGCAAAGAGATGGATTCCCAAAGAAGGTTGGGAAATGTGTTGGTGATCCCAATATTAGGGGAGAAAATGGGCAGCTGAGAAAGTGATACGTGAAATGAATTATTATGAATACATATAAATCCTCGTACAAGAAAATATGAACTTGAAGTTCAAGTGATAATTCATTTATAAATTATTGCCAGACGCATTTGCTGACCCTAAGCTAAATGTCATATTTCAACTGCTAATGCTCCAAATAGAATAAAGTCCATGAGATACAGAGCCTATGGCACGCATGAAGCGTAACAGACCAATCGGTTCCAAAGATAAAACTCCTTGAAGAAGGAGAGGGGCAAATGTTCAAGATGGCCATAATAAGGAGGCAAGTGCTCTAGAAGAGCACCACGACATAACACTTCGTAAGACCTCATGTGAGAGGTTAAGGTACCTGAAAATAATGAGATAAAGAGATCTCACTAAGTTATGTCTTTATTAGGTAATAATGGAACCAACGTAAAATGATCATCGATGATATTGTTAACATAATGTTGCGCTCAATATTATTAACATTGACGAGGATCTTGAGCTCAAATCTGTCATGAAATTTGGACTGATAAATGATTGGCCAAATGAAAAATACACAATGAAAATTGACTTCACTTGAAAAAATGTGAAGTTGGGCGGATAGTCCCAACACCTGAAAGTATAAACCCAATGGAGGTATAAATGTGTTCTTGTGCAAAAAGTTCAAGTCGATAGACATAAAGACGACTTGTGACACAAGAAAATTAGTAAATATCCTCACATTGATTATATGGAGACATGTGTCTCTTATGGTGGATGTAATCATTTCAGGTTTTAATTTGGAAATACATGAAAACTTGATATGCGTATAATGGAAATCATTGAAGGATTAAAATTGTTCTGAAGTATGTTAATGTTTCCAAGAAATTTATTAAATAAAGCTTCAAAAATCCTTATACGGATTGAAACAATTAGGGTGCATGTGGTGTAAACGCCTGTGTGAGTACCTATTGAAAGAAGGGTACAAGAATGATTCATTTTGTCCTTGTATCTTTATAAAAAGATCTGGATTTGAATTTGTTATATTCTCTCTGTATGTTGATGATTCAAATATCATTACAACTCTCAGACAGCTTCCTAAAGCAGTAGACTGTTTAAAGAAAGAATTTGAAACAAAAGATCTTGGAAAGACTTTTTGTCTTGGTCTACAAATTGAGTATATGAAAGATAAAAATTTTATTAATCAATCAGCATACACTAAAAAGATTTTAAAAAGCTTCTATGTGGATAAAGCACATCCATTAAGTACCCCGATGGTTGTAAGATTACTCGATATAAATAAAGATCCACTCCGACCTCATGAAAATAATGAAGAGATTGTTGGTCCTAAAGTATCATATCTTAATGCAATTGGTGCGCTAATATATCTTGCTAACACTACAAGGCCTGACATAACTTTTTCAGTTAATGTCTTAGCAAGATATAGCTCCGCTCAAGGAAACATTGGAATGAAATCAAGCACATACTGCGTTATCTAAGGGGGATTACCGATGTGGACTTATTTTATGGAAATGATTGCAATACCGATCTTGTTGGTTATGCCGATGTGGGGTATTTATCTGACACACACACAAGGCTTGATCTCAAACATGCTATGTGTTTACATGTGGAGGCACTGTCATATCTTGGCGATCGACTAAGCAATCAATCATGGCTACTTCTTCTAATCATGCTGAGATAATTGCTATTCATGAAGCAAGTCGAGAATGTATTTGGTTGAGGTCTATAACATTTCACCAAAGTTATTTTTCACACATGATCTTCAAAAGAATGGTGATATCAATGTGCAAAAGATTCGTTCAAGTGATAATATGGTTGATTTGTTCACCAAATCTCTACCGACGTCAACCTTCAAGAAACTAGTGTACAAGATTGGGATGTGAATGATCAAGGATGTGAATTGATGCTCTTATCAGGGGGAGTTAATACGCGTTGTACTCTTTTTCCCTTACAAGGTTTTGTCCCACTAGATTTTTTCTTGCAAGGTTTTTAACGAGGCAACCAAAAGGCTATTTCTAAACATATGTACTCTTTTTCCTTCACTAGGATTTTTTTCTAGTAAGGTTTTAACGAGGCACATTATCTATGGACATCCAAGGGAGAGTGTTATGATAAATATCACATTATGGTGGATGTCTACTCTTCTTCCATGATCTTGATCTCAAATGCGTAATGATATATTCAATGACATATTTTGTATGTTCAATGACATATTCCATGACATATTTTCTTCACTTTTTATGCCTATATAAAGGCCTTGTAATATATAGGAAAATACACATAATTGAAGAAGAAAATCTCTTCCTTCTCTCTATCTCTATTTCTTGTTCATGTTTTACTAAATTGCTTTGATTTCATAATACAAATAATGATTTTAACATTATGTTAAACCTTCCCCGTATAATGTCATTAATAAGTAATGCTCTCAAAACCTAGTAACTATTTTACTGATAATTTATCCTTTAAATACCATTATTTTCTCTTGGCATGGTTAGAGTAATATATTTATAATTATTGTTCAATCAAGAATCGACTTTTCCCCCCTTTGTACCTGCCAATGTCTAGATCCTATCACCCAATAAAAAAATATCACAATAAATACAGCATTATGTAATCAGAGGCAGATGCAATCTTGTAGCAGATTTATTTGAATTCAATAAATAAATTATGTTTGACTAAATAGATTTTTGGTTATTAATTGTAATTCAAATTTATTTCCTTATGGTTTATATCGGTATACAACATTAGTCTTCCTTCACATACATATGAAAAGAAAGTCATTGTATGATTCATCAACTTGTTTAACGTACAGTACTCACAATATATTTATGAACAATTAACTCAAATAGTCGCACACTCTACTGCTTAAATTAAAAATAGCTAATAAATATATAATATATACATAATTTATGTATTATGTGTGTATAATTATGTATAATCAATATATAATTTATGTATAACTAGAAAAAGTAAATAATTAATATGAGTGACTATTTGTGTAAAAACCGTTATATTTATGCAACCGTTTCACTTGATCAAGAGCTAGGAATTTGCTAATTCAATTTTATATATTAGTAAAACTAAGAAAAATGTTAAAAGAATAATTAAAATGTTAATTTGATAGATAAAATATATACCATTATAAAAATTATATAGAATAGTATTCTCTTTGTCTCAATTTATATGAAATGGTTCAGATTACAAGGATCAAAACACCTACAGTAATTTTGTATGTGAATTCAGGCATAAATTTTTAAAACTATTAATTTAAAAATTACATAAAAATACTAGTGTATGTTAACATGGTTATTTATTCAAAATATTTTAAAAGAAGAGAGAAATTGTAGTCAAAGAAAAAATTATTTTTCTATAACAGTATTTTCACACTTTTTCATTCCTCTTAGTATCGGATTTTATCTACTAGTTATTGTTTTGCTTTTCGTTTATATTTGTGTGATGGTATTATTTCTTTCTAAGGTTTATTGATGGTACTTATATATTGTCTCTTTTCGTCTTATTCAGCCGTCTATCAGAAATAATCTATCTATCCCTCGGGCTAGGAGTAAGGTCTCCATACACAGTACCCGAATTTTACCGGGTTATTGTTGTAATAGTATTTTCAGATAAATTAAGACTGAGGGAATATTATTAGTGAAATCAAACATAATGCTATCTATAAATTAAAAAAACTGGTGGATCATCAAGCAATATTTGGTCAGTAGAATCTACATTCTTTATAAGATTAATACTTACTAATCTAACCATTGTAGTAACATCTTAACTAACTTACTTCCAAAACTGCCGGCTTTGCATGAAATAGTACTCATCAAATCTCTCTCTCTCTCTATATATCTGACACACACACACACACAGAGCAGTGTAGCAAGAGATGAAAAGTGATTTTGAGTTTTTTGTTTTGTTTGCTCTGTAAATGCTTCTTCAGGAAAGAGAAACAGTGAAGGAAAAAAGTTAGTTTTTCTGAAGCAGCAATGACTGCAAAAATACAAAAAAAGCCACAACAGACTCTTCTTTTTGCAGCCACAATTTCTCCCCCTCTCTCTCTCTCTTTCCTTTTCAAGAATTGGGTTTTAGTCACTTTTTTCAAATATTGAATTCTCTTGAGCTCTTTTACTGAAGAGAAGTAAAAAAAGAGAATCTTTCTTTAAATTCAGCATATTCAGTATATAACTAATGGTGGTTTTCTACTGAAAGGGGTTGAAGTTACCAAATTGGTTTGCTGTTTCCTGTGGCTGATATTGATTGGGGGTAGTGGTATGAGCTGACCCCACTTGAGAATTCTTGCACTAGCTTTTGTATATTTAAGAATAAATATTACTCCATCTTGTTTTTGGATATATACAGTGTTCTTGAACTGTTTCATTTCCAATTTTAGGATGACTTCAGGAATGGAAATTGATGAAGAGAATAATAATAATGAAAGTAAAGGAGGGATGTGGGATTTAGAGCAAAAGCTTGATCAGCCTATGGATGAGGAAGCTGGAAGGCTAAGGAATATGTATAGAGAAAAGGTATAATTAGATGTACCTTTTTTTTTATTGATTCCTCAGAAATAGGTTAATGTCAAAGATACCTTTCTTTTTCTTTTTCTTTTTTTGGGACCTTTTGCTTTCTGCTTGCTTTACTGGTCTAGTGTTTCTTTTCTTTCTTTCTTTCTTTTGTATGTGGCCAAAGTTTAATAGGTTAGCAGTTATTCAGCTTGAAGATGCTTGGATTGTTTCTTACCTACTTGATCTTAATGCATGAGTAATTTGCAGTCTCATAAAATAGATATTGTAAAGAATTAGATGGATCTTGTAAGACTTGAATTAATGTATCTGCCCCTGGATGATTGGTTAGATATTCAATTAAACTTAGAGGATGATTTTAGGTTGTGTGAGTGTGTGTGCGCGTGTACATACATATGTAGTTTGCAGTGGCGAAGCTAGTAATTTCCCAAGAGTGTTCAAATTTAAAAGAAGTGGAAAACATTTCCGACAAAGGGTGTTCAATATGTGTTATATACTTCTAAAACATAATATTTTACCTGTGTACACAGTGCAATTTTTCGACTTCGCCACTGGTAGTTTGTCCTGTGTGCACTTGTTTACTTCATCTTTATGAACACTATGTTCAAAGCAGATGATTGAAATTGTACATCCTCCGCAGATTTGTGTCTGATTTCGTAGATCACAAAATGAATGAACCAATGGACCATTTTAGTACTGGTCATTGTTTTAGCCAGTTGCCTGATTGACTTTCTCTTAATTCAGAAATTCTCGACATTGTTGTTATTGCGGCTTGCTTATCAGAGTCTTGGAGTGGTGTATGGGGACCTTGGGACATCTCCCTTGTATGTCTACAACAATACATTTCCCCATGGAATTGATGATCCAGAGGATGTCATTGGAGCACTTTCATTAATTATATACTCTCTTACACTTATCCCTCTCCTCAAGTATGTTTTCATTGTATGTAGAGCAAACGACAATGGCCAAGGTAAGCTGATTTTGCAGTAATTGGTTAATTTAGTCATGCCTCGTACCTGTATATATATGCATGTCCTGTGATTAGTAAGTGTTCCATTGCTGAATTCCTCAAAATTGAATATGTAACTATAGTGAAACAAGAGAAACATTTTCTAATTATTACTTGGTACCTCATCATTTTAATCTAATTGAAAGGGCCCTCTGCAGTAGCATCAACTGCATTTCCCAATGCAAGAGCATATGTACTTTATGATGCACTACAATGGCATAACTGAATTTTCCATTTTCAGGTGGGACTTTTGCTCTTTATTCGTTACTCTGTCGACATGCTAAGATAAACACAATTCCAAACCAACATCGAACTGATGAGGAGTTGACAACTTACAGCCGTAGCACATTCCATGAGCATTCATTTGCTGCAAAAACAAAAAGATGGTTGGAGGCATATCCGTTCAGGAAGAATGCACTTCTTATTCTTGTAGTTGTTGGCACTTGCATGGTAATCGGCGATGGAATTCTGACTCCTGCCATTTCAGGTATGCTAGTTTGAAGTTCATCTTATACTTATCAGCTACTTAATGACTAAGTTGAAGTTCATTAATTATTATCAAAGAAAGGTATACTTTTAGTTTGAAATAATGTACTTATGCAGAATATTTTTCTCAGTTCTTTCAGCTTCTGGTGGGATCAAGGTGGACCATCCGAAGATGAGTAACGGTACTACACTACTTTCCAAATATTTTTCTTTATTAATCACATCTTGTTTGCTTGCATCTCTTTAAGTTATTTATGATAAACTCACAAAGAAATTCATGTTTGTGCTCCTCTTTCTGCAGACGTAGTTGTGGTAGTTGCTGTCATTATATTAGTTGGTTTGTTTAGCTTACAACATTATGGCACAGACAGAGTGGGTTGGTTGTTTGCTCCAGTTGTGCTGCTTTGGTTTCTCTTAGTAGGAGGTATTGGCATCTATAATATCTGGAAATATGATAGCTCTGTTTTGCGGGCTTTTTCTCCGGTTTACATTTATCGGTATTTTAGAAGGGAAAAAAGAGAGGGTTGGACATCACTGGGAGGGATCATGCTCAGCATTACAGGTCTTTTCTTCTTGCCCTTTCCACTCTTTTCAAACATCTCTTCTGTGTGTTATTAGACAAGAGTTTATTAGCGCGAAAAAGAAGTGTGTGTGCGCTCCTACTTATAATTGTTTGGCTGTCTATTTCAGGAACAGAGGCACTTTTTGCTGATCTTGCTCATTTTCCACTGTCAGCAATACAGCTTGCTTTCACTGTCGTTTGTTTCCCTTGCCTTCTTCTAGCTTATTCTGGACAAGCAGCATACCTCATGCAAAATACAGATCATGTTGTTGATGCATTCTATCGATCTATTCCAGGTATTTCTTGCTCTCTAACTGTGATACGTTAGAGGTATTTGTTTTCCTCCTCAATCGTGATAAAACAGATTAACAGTACGTAGACCTAAGAAGTCATAATATCAATAGAGCTCTGGGTGCAGACCGGAGTATCTTTTGCATAGTGCACTTTCAGTACACAGCAAAATAGCATGTTCCCAGTATCAAATCTTTGAAATTAGAGAACATATTCAGTTGAGAGGAGATATAAGTATGCACGGTAACAAGTGAGACGCCTAAGGAGGACTTGTCACAAGGAAGGTGAGGCAGAAGAGCGGTGATAGAAAGGAGAATCTGAGACTTTCTTTTTCCTACAGTGTCATCTCCAATTCTGTTTAACTGATCTTTTACGAATGCAGAATTCTTAAATCATGCACCAACAACCTATAGAAGCTAAAGGCTGAATATCTCTTTTTTGATAAAGTACAACAACAACAACAACATACTCAGTATAATCCCACATAGTGGGGTCCGGGGAGGGTAGTGTGTACGCAGACCTTGCCCCTACCTTGTGGAGGTAGAAAAGTTGTTTCCAATAGACCCTCGGCTCAAGAAAGCATAAGCACCACATTAAAAAAAAAAAAGACGGGACAGTACCGAGAAGCCATGTAAAAGCAACATAAATAATAACAAGATAGTAAGATGATCAAAGTGCAAGAAACGATAGGTAGTCAAAGAAACCTAATACCAACAGAATGCGAGAGTACGTACTAATACTACCGGTATGAATAATCTAGACTACCTAACTTACTACCCTAATACTCGACCTCCACACCTTCCTATCAAGGGTCATGTCCTCGGTCAGCTATAACTGCACGCACTAAGCTCCCGCTATGCCCGGGGTCCAGGGAAAGGCCAGACTACAAGGGTCTATTATACGTAGTCTTACCCTGCATTTTTACAAGAGGTTGTTTCCACGGCTCGAACTCGTGACCTCCTGGTCACATGGCAGCAACTTTACCAGTTACGCCAAGGCTCCCCTTCTTTTTTGATAAGGTCATAATTTTATTAAGTGGAAAATACCCATATACAAGAAGTATACCAAAAAGTAGAAAAACCTACACCAAAATAATTTGCTTTACAAAATTCACCCACTCATCTATACAAACAAGGACCTCATGGGTGCACCAAAAAGAAACTAGAGAAAAGAGGCAACTCCTCACATGTGCAAAATCACTCTCGACCCCTTCAAACGCTCTCCGATTCCTCTCCCTCCACACAACCCACACAAGAGCTAGTTGGCAACATCCCATGCCTTGGGTCTTCTCTTTCTGCTTTTGAAATTTCAGCTATGCAAGGCCTCCTTTACTGAACTTGGCATAAACCACTTGTATTCTAAACCAATTCAGAACTTCCCACAACAGGTGTATAGCAACTGGACAATGTAATAAGAGATGATCCACATCTTCTCCCCAACATCTACACATAGCACCAGTTGACTTATATGATCCTTCTCTTCCTCAGATTCTCCGCTGTCAGTGTCACTTACCTAGATGCCAAACGCACAAAGAAGCACACTTTTCTAGACTGAACCTTATCTCTTATAATGGAAAATTAAGAGAGGCAGTCTTGAGCTGTGCCTTAGGCCCCAGAATTTATGGCTTATTGAAGGAACTATGTTAAAGAGATTCCTCAGTGTGCCTTGCTCCTTCAGAGTTTGCTTTTGATGATTGGTAGTTGAGTTAGTTAATAACCCTTATTGGTATGATGATGGAGCATATGGATTTCAACATCCTCATTTTTTCTTTCTAGTTATGTATCAGACTTAGATGCTTCTTTTTTCGATGTAACAAGACTTGAATACTACCGCTGGTTTCGCATATCCTGTTTATATTAACATTTAACACGCTTTCTAAGGAATAATATTCATGGCCTTGGGTAGGCCAGAATCTTTATATATGGGGCGGAGGTTGTGGCTTGGAATTATGTGCATAAATTCTTAAATATTATGAGCATATATCTGTGATACTGTTTGATAACTTACTCTGTTAATAGTACAAAGCGAAACATCTTCTAATTCACACATATGAGAAAATTAATAATTGGATTATATATCAAGTGATAGTGTACAATCTTTCTGATGAATTACCATTTCCAGTCCTCCTTTGAAGAAACAAAGAAGAAAATAGAATGGAGGATATGTTAGTAATAAAGGTGACATCAATTACAAGTTATAATGTAGCTGACATTTTTCATAATGCAGAAAGCATATACTGGCCAGTTTTTGTGATTGCAACTCTAGCTGCTATTGTTGCAAGTCAAGCTACCATATCTGCAACGTTTTCCATAATCAAGCAAGCTCTAGCACTTGGCTGTTTTCCGAGAGTCAAGGTTGTACATACATCAAAGAAGTTCTTAGGGCAGATATATATTCCTGATATAAATTGGATCCTTATGGTTCTTTGCATTGCCGTTACTGCTGGATTTAAAAATCAAAGCCAAATAGGCAATGCTTACGGTGAGTTTGTGTCTTGCTGCTAATAATATATCTTGATTCCGTTTGGCCTTTTACATATGCAATGACAGATATAAGTCTTAAAGGATTAAATTTCCCTTTCTGTTTGTCGTCTTCCTTTAATGTCCTTACTAGTTGTTTATGCTCTATTTTGTCTTTCGCATTTTCATTGGAGATTGATCAATAAAAGAAAAGTGGCGCATTAGTTTAAAGTTGTCACAACAAAGTCAACCATTTTCCATCATTTCATGTTTAGCCATGCTTTGAATTTTCTTCCTTGCCTTTGGTTTTTGTATTTATTTACTGTTGACACCATACAAGAGCCTCATCTTGAAACTCACTTGTTGACATGGTATTTCTTGATCAACAGGAACAGCGGTCGTGATAGTCATGCTGGTGACGACACTCCTCATGACTTTGATAATGTTACTAGTTTGGCACTGCCATTGGGCTGTTGTTCTTATCTTCACTGTCTTATCTCTGGTGGTTGAATGTACCTACTTCTCTGCAGTATTGTTTAAGCTTGACCAGGGTGGTTGGGTTCCTCTTGTGATTGCTGCAGCTTTTCTTCTCATCATGTATGTATGGCATTATGGAACGGTGAAACGTTACGAATTTGAGATGCACAGCAAGGTATCAATGGCATGGATTCTTGGACTTGGCCCCAGTTTAGGATTGGTACGTGTGCCAGGAATCGGACTTGTGTACACCGAACTAGCTAGTGGAGTGCCACACATCTTTTCTCACTTCATTACCAACCTACCTGCTATACACTCAGTTATGGTATTTGTCTGTGTAAAGTATCTTCCTGTTTACACAGTTCCAGAAGATGAGAGATTCCTTGTGAAACGGATAGGACCAAAGAATTTTCACATGTTTCGCTGTGTTGCAAGATATGGTTACAAAGACCTCCATAAGAAGGATGACGACTTTGAGAAAAAGCTCTTCGATAACCTCTTTATGTTTGTCCGACTGGAATCCATGATGGATGGCTGCTCCGACTCTGATGAATACAGCTTATACGGACAGCAAACACAACATTCTAGAGATAACGGGAGCTCTTCTACTGCAAATATTGAGCTCAGTTATTCATCAATGGACTCAATAGCCCCTGTCAAATCTCATCCTCACAGAAACAACACAATCACATCCTCCGGACATGAGAGCGGACAGACAGAAGTTGATGAAATGGAATTCTTAAATAGTTGTAGAGATACGGGGGTTGTACACATACTTGGGAATACTGTAATAAGAGCAAGAAGGGAATCCAGGTTTTATAAGAAACTAGCTATAGACTATATATATGCATTTCTTAGGAAAATATGCAGGGAAAATAGTGTCATCTTCAATATACCTCATGAGAGCCTCTTGAATGTTGGACAGATCTTTTATGTGTAAATTTATTAGACGATCAATTCGAAAAATTATGGATTTTGTTCAGAGTCGGGGCTTCTGATCTCACACATCAAAGGATTATCAAATATGTATATAACTTTTTTCATGATATCTTCTTATAGTTATCAAATACGTTCAGGTGGGGTAGATTGTAACTCAACAGTGAAAGTTTGCTTCAAGTGATTAAAGATTTTATTGTGTTTGAATAAGTGGAAAAAGAGAAATATTACCCACTATTTTACTGCAACACAGAAAAGCTCAAAGTAGCACTTGGTTGTTGTGTGAGATTGTTTTGGTGATGTATTGCGATGGATATAAAGTTGGATATTGATGTAATATGTTTATTGATATTTTGGACATGTTGGTCTTGTTGTTTGATTTGAGAAAAGGAAAAAAATAAGGGGAGGTGTTGTCCAAATACTCGTAGACGAGCTAATCGCTTATTTGTGTTGAATTTTAGCTTCCGTAAGTTAACAGTGCTCCCATATCATTTGTTGTAGATTGAAGTACTAACGGGTTGAACCAACGCCGTGAGGTTAAGCAAACGACAAAAGTATGTTAAGGCTAATCCTTCCTATTTTGGTGCAACACGGAAAGTTCCAGCATTATATGTTGGAGATTGATGCACCTGTGCATGAACTTCCAGCATAATATGCTGGAACTCCAACACACAGAAAGTTCCATATGCTGGAAGTTCATACACAGGTGCTCCAGTCTCCAGTATATTATGCTGGAACTTTCCGTGTTGCAGCAAAATAGGAAGGATTAGTATATTATACTGGAACTCCAATATATTATGCTAGAAATTCAGTATATTATACTGGAACTCCAATATATTATGCTGGAATATTTTCCGGATTTTGAACAACATTTTCGTTCAAATTATATTTACATGAAAAGTGGCTAAATTTCGATTATTTTTAAAACTGTGGCTATTTTTCAATTACCACTTGTAAATCTTATTATTTTTTAATTTCACCCATAATAGTAACTGTTTTGTTAAGAGAAACTAGCAGCTATGTCCATTTATAAGTAGCTCATTACAAAAATTGACCAATTCATAAAATATTACTAATATTTGCCAATTAACTATTTTTAGCAAAAAAATATCTAATTATTGCTTTCTTTTGAGTGGGTGTTATTAGAATAGATTGGGTACATCTTAAGGAGCTTGAATCTCAGTTTTGGGATGATTTGGTAAGTTTTGAGGTAGTTTGAATTGAAAATTCGAAATAAAACTGAACATGAAAAAAATGATATGTGTATCACACTATGCATCATTTATGTATCACATATGTATCACATTTGTATCAATTGTGTATCACATGTATATCCATGTGTACCTGTCAGAGGAGGATCCAGGATTTAAACTCTATGGGTTCAACTTTTAAGATTTTTAACATTGAACCCATTATATGTTTAAAGTTATGGGTTCAAATATATTATTTTTGCAATTTTAATGAATTTTTACACATAAATTTCTACTCCGCGTCGAAAGTTATGGGTTCAATTGAACCCATAACTAACACACTACATCCGCCTCTGGTACCTGTGTGTGAAATACATGCGTGAAACATGTTTGATATATGCGTCGCAGAAGAATTTTTTGAGCTCGATTTAATTACGAATTTTGATATAAAACCAGTCCAAATCACCTCCAATCTTCCTCAAAATTTGTATATTGACTTATCTATATATTTTCAATGAATTTCAACTATACCCATTGAAAAAGTTCCTTTTTTGCTTAGATTTTTGGAATATTATATTTTTATTTATTTTTTTGTATTTCATCACCTTATTTGCTACCTCATCCATAAAATTTTCTTTCCGTCTTGCATCAAATATTTCTAATCACATTAAAAAATATAAAATGTGATTTTTGCATGTGATTCTTTGAGAGAAAGAACCTTATTTATTTGGTTTTTCAATTTTTATATGTGCTTGATTAGTTTTGGTAAGTTTATGCTTAATGGCTAGAGGTTGGTAAGTTGAGACTTATTTGGAACATTTGTGCAAGTTTTCCTTTTGTTAATGCTTCTCCAAAGATGGGTGCCACAAACATATATACGTTCAACTGGTTGCATTAAACGTACAAGTTGAAAAAACAACATACGTCTTCAAAAAGTTCTAGACTAAATTTTAACATTGCTGACTTTGAAAATACTGAAATATAATTGCCTCGATGGGAAAATAAAGACAGCCAGTTTCCTAATTCAAATAATCTCCTGTAGACATTCCACTTGCATTGTGAACTAGCGAATATAGCCTTCTCCTAATTTGCTTATACAAGATGATAAGCAATGAATATACTTTATTACCGAAAAGAATTTAAATAGTTTTCCTTGTAATTTTTCAGAATAATGGAGGAAAAGTTAGGAGGAGATCTATTTGCTCTTTTCCTTTTTCTGATTTTCTTTTGCATTTTGTACAACAGAAGAAAAAAAAAAGGAATAATTTTTTTCTTACCTCCTATCCACTCCCCTTCTCTAGTTGCCAAACGAAGCAAACTCCAAATAGAGGCAAAATAAAATCACTTAAACTTGTAATATCACCAAACATTTCCGAGGCCAAAGCTACATTTCCATTTATCATAGATACAAATGATGCTTTACAAATTGCAATATGTAACAAGATTTTCATGTTTTTAACGGGAATATATATAATCTATTGTTCATTAGTTTTTTCACAATGTTGTTTCACACCCTGAAGGAGACCACTCTCATCACTCTAATGTTACAGAATAAACAGACTATACTTAGAAACTACTCATAAGAAACTTCCGCCACAGATACCAGGAAAGAAGACGCCATACCATCACTTGGGTTGCTTGTTTTGGGTTGGATGAGCTTGTGGTCTTGTTGGACAGGCAGCAGCCATGGCACGTAAGCGTCTAGCAATTTCACTGAAAGATGGGCGGATGGCAGGATCCGGAGCCCAACATTGTTCCATAAGCATTCTCCACTCACTGTCACAGAAGCTTGGCACAGGCGGTCTCAATGTGTTGCTTACAATACCACCTGCATACAGTACAAACGATACAAGTCTGCTTATAACAAGGATACAAGACTGCATTAATTTCCAAATTGCATCTTTGGTTTGTATAGCTTTCAGATTTTACGTAAGATCGATCACACCATTTCTTTATATTTCTATGCAGCTTAGAACTAGTAGAAACTACAGGGAAGGACACCGCCAAGGGATTCTGCTTGAGAATGAGTGGAACACAACAGAAAAAAAAACAGAGAGAATTAAAAGGAATGAAGATTAAGTAGGGTTGACGGGAGTGGTGCTCTATTCTAGATGTCAATCAATCAATCAACTTCACTTCGATCCTAAACATAGTTGGGGTCAGCTATAAGAATCCTCTATATAATCTTCGCTCTATTCGAGCCCATTTCACTTCAATACTATATAATTTGTCTTTTTGGTGCATTTCAATTCTCAGTTCCACATACCAAGTATTTTCTTGTATGTTCAAGTTGCACCTGACATTCTAAGTGGCTTCCTAAGTAAGAGATTAGAGGGAATAGGAACAAGCATTAAACTAGTTGACAATATCTTTTTTAATATTGCCACTTATGGAATGCCCTTGCAGATATAGTTTTAAGATTTAAAAAAATCTTATTAACTTGAGAAGACCAAAGTTTTGATCACAAAGTTCTAGATATTGATTTTTTTTTTAAAGTGTAGCGGACTTCAGAAATTAGAGGATAAAAATTGGAAGCGCCTGAATTGACTAAATATGTCTATAAATGTTGTGCTATTACTTTCCACTGAAGAAAAAACCTTCTGTTGCTTACTTTTAGACTGGACTCTTAACACTCCTGCCTTTATCCTTCATTAAGGTGTCACTTAGCAGGAAATATAGGATATAACGAGTAATTTTATTGTCAGATGCAGGCAGAAAATGGAAGCACAAAGTGCAATAAGCAAACCTATAATTGCTCCATAGTGCATATTAGCATAAGGTTCCTCGCCAGTAAGGATTTCCCACAGCACAATCCCAAAGGAGAAGACATCGACCTGCAAAATTTTGATTTGTCACTACGAATGGCAACTAGTGTGTATAGGATTGCATATTTTTCATGGGTCTTTCTATGTAAAAAGAGAAATTCCTGCTGATAAAATTTTGGTCAAACAACATCTCAAAGGAAAAATTAGAAGGAACTGTTGCAAGAAAACAGAGGCTCTTGGCAGAAGTTTAAGCGCAAAACTAATGAAACAAAGAGACCACACAATCCATCAGATTCTTGAAGTTGGCAAAAAATTAATAACAGCAGGTTGAGTTGATAAGCATTAAGTATGCCCCTTCGCTATACCCCACACGAAGTGAAAAATGATGTCTGAAATAGACTAAGTTTCACATTCACATGTGAAGAGGTTAATATAAAAAATAGGAATTGAAAGCTTACCTTCTCAGAAACCTTGTTACTGCCACCATTCAACAGTTCTGGAGCCATCCAAGGAAGCGTTCCCCTGACACCACCAGTAACCAAGGTATTTCTCTTTATTTTTGACAGTCCAAAATCAGCCACCTATACAGAACACGATTTTCATTAGCTTTGGGTTGTTCCCCACATAACATCTTTGTTGTCCTTTACTTGACGAAGAATTAATTGTCACATTAAACTTGTAACTTATGGTAAGTTGGTCTGATGGTAAGCAACCCCCACTTCCAACCAAGAGGTTGTGAGTTCGAGTCACCCCAAGAGCAAGGTGGGCAGTTCTTGGTGGAAAGGATGCCGAGGATCTATTTGGAAACAGCCTCTCTACCCATGGTAGGGGTAAGGTCTGCGTACACACTACCCTCCCCAGACCCCACTAGTGGGATTATACTGGGTTGTTGTTGTTGTATTAAACTTGTAACTTAGTATAATAAGTGGTTATCAAAGTGAGTGAAGAAGTTGTTTACAGTTTGCGATAGGAAACCATGTTTATGCATTATCATTTTAAGCTAGTAATCCGGAAAATACAACCTTATATCTAGAAAATATGTAACGATTACGAAAATCACACTTTTATAGGTACAAGTCCTCTTGAGGTATTCCACCTATAGCTTGTTATTGGTCTAAAGATGGTTGTATCAAGAATTTTCGCAATAATAGCTTGGATCATGGCGGGATTAACCACATTATTTATGTTTTAGATCTATTTCCTCTCAAAGGGCATTACTAATATGTTGGCTAATAAGCTGATTATGATTGTGAGACTTGTATGGTATAGAAAGACAAAGCACATTGTCGCATTTCAGATCAAAACCAGCAAATTCTTGCAAATACAGCACCCATCGAAAAAATTCAAAAGCAGCACATTCTTGAAGTCACCTTACAAATGGGTCGAGAAGGATCCTTTAAGTTGACAAGCAAATTGTCACATTTCAGATCAAAATGCACAATATTCTTTGAGTGCAAATATTCCATTCCAAATGCAGCATCCATTGCAATTATGAGCCTCTTGCGACGATCAAGGTGTCTGGACAGTTCGAGTAGGGAGGAGAACATAATAAGGTTTCTAGAGAAAAAGGAAAACAAAACAAATAGTTAAAGAAGTGTACTATCCAGTATTACCGCACCTGTCCTTGCAAAGTAAAACATGTCTAAGAGAACCATTCACCATGAATTCTGCTACTGTGGCAAGAGTCCCCCCTGGCCCATCTTGCACAACACCATAAAATGCCACCACATTGGGATGATGTAGTTTTGAAAGAATTTCAGCTTCACGCCAAAACTCCACAGTCTGGAAATAGTTCCCAAGTTCTATCATGAAATAGCTAGTGCAAAGAAAGCAGAAGCATGACCAATTTATGTTCTTAAATGCTTCTACGAGTTCTAAATTTTATAAAATTCTAGACTACAATGGAACTCACTCCCTGTCTCTGTACTGCGATAAAAGCCATTTCAAGTACGTATAAAGTAACTTGTAATGATACAAATTATCAATTGGGTGTACAATTTACGCTAGATCTCATAAACCAAGATCCAAGAAGAAAACACTTCACAGCTTCTACATTGATATAGAGATATAGACAGCACAAACAATAACATGGATTTCCTTCTCAAAAAAACAATAACATGGTTGTATAACTTTTTTAGCTACTGTTAGTTTAATATTTACATATTTTGCAGTTCAAGAAGACCATCCAATGGAAACTGCCCATTTGTTACTCATATTGCAGCAGAAATAAAACACTCTATTACTTTAAGACACTCACCAATCTCTCCTGCTCTGATGAGCGACCTGTGAAACAGCTTTTTTTTATTCTCTTGATGGCAACGTCAGTCCCTCTCCATTTTCCATGATATACGGTCCCAAATGTTCCAGAACCCAATTCCTTTAACTCTTCAAGATCTTCATTAGTGATAATCTATAATGCAATAAAACAAGTTAACAACAAAGATTGACAGAAAGAAGAGTTGCAAATACCCATTAAAACCCTAAGTGGAAGGGATGTACAATTGACTATAATCGATGTATGAGAAAAGATTAATAGAAAGTAGGAAACACTCTCAATATGCAAGCCAGATGCAGAACGAAAAGCCAACAATATTGTACCTATATTGGTTAAAAATACAGTACATTAGGAGCTAACGATGGAAAGAAATAAAGGAATCCTAAGGATATGCTACCTATATATGGTTATGTACAATACAAGGAAAGAAGTCTATATACATTCTGTAACAAATATGAACGAAAAGCCCTCTC